GGAGGGTTGCGGCCGAACCGAAGACGGGCTCGGCCTGGAAAAGGAAAACAAAGGGCGAAGTAAAACGCGAAAGGTGACTTTGGGAAGGCAACGGCTTAATTCTCGGCGCGAGCCCATTCGGTGGGATTAAATTTACGGCTTTTGGAAAATCGTTGTGCTCGTACACCACCCGCCGCTCGCAGGTTCTCGCCGGTTTAACGACACCGTCGGTTATAATGGCAGTAAACTCGTTTATCGCCTAAATACACGCGCCATGGGCTGACGGAATTAACGTCGAAGCCCAACACATTCTGGTAATAAGCGGCGGGCAGCAGCACTTTTGCCGGTGGAAATCGTCGGAGAAAGCGGCTCGATCGCTTCCCCCCCCCCCCCCCCCCTTTTTTTTTTTTTTTCGGCTAATAACGACGATCAATTGGAACGAGAGGAGGAGAAGGGGGAAGCCAGCCCCGTTGCCACGAAATTAACGGCCGGTAATTATCAGACAAGCGGGTCGCGATCGAGGATCCTCCACGGTCGTCCTTTTGAAATCGATTACAAGTTGCAGGTTGCGCAACCTGGTCTCCCCCCCCCCCCCCCCCCCCCCCCCTCCTTCCCTCCTCTTCTCGTTGCGAGCAAATCGAGCGAGTATCCGAAACTAGAGGATGGATTTTTTTCGCGAGGTTGCAGGTTACCGTGTATTTAGAACGTTTGTATTTGTTGTGCAAATTGCGGCGAGATATCATATCGAGGAGGCGAGGTTGAAAATTCCCAGGAGGAAATCGTTTTCATTCAACGAACCGAGAGAGGCCAGCGATTCAATTTTATGCCGAGTTGAGAGAGAGTTTTTCTCGATTGGTCGATGAAATTTTAATAGGACGAGCTAATTGGTTGGTAATTAACCCGAATGTACACGGAACGACGATTATTTTTAACCTTGCCGATTCGTTTAAGGAAGGAGAGAAACGCGCGTTGAGAAATTTTCTCGTACGACAAACGAGAGTGATTGTAACAACGTTAATTGCCGATCCATAACCGACTGTTATTCCATCAACGCGATCGACTATGACCCGGCTGAGAGTCTAGACCCTATATTCATACTATCCGCGCTGTATAATCAAAATTGATGTAATTGAATAAGAATTTTAACTATGAATACCTTTTTTTTTAAGTTTGTCAGAACGCGACTAATTACGAGCAATTTCTAACGAAATATTTTTTCTTTTCTTCTTTTAGGTTGGCACGGTTTGCTATTTTATTCCGAGTTGATATCAACATGCAGCTAGCGAACATGCAAATGGGATGTATGGAGATGCAATCAGATATGCAACTCAAGGAGAAATTGCTCCAAGTGTCTTTATTACACTTTTATAAATCTGCCTAGAGAAAAATATTTAGCATTTCACGAACGTTATACAGTGCTTATTTATACTTGCGAACAGAATTTTTCCCCACATGAAGCACGCGAAAAATAAAATAAAAAATTTTAGACGAGCATCTCCGTCGATTACCTGTATTAAACCAGATATTGATAAAAAACGAAAAAAGAACATGCTCGATATTCTCATTAAAAATTCTCATATTCTTTTTAATTAAAATAAATATATTTTTCTAACCAATATATCGCTTCATCAAAAAAGGTCTTTTAATATTCTCATAAATTACATTGAACTGGTAAAAAAAAAAAAAAAAATATGTAAACTGTCCTCGACAAATTTTTATTGGCCAATGGCGGCTCAGAAGATCCAAAAGGTTGGACACGTCGATGGTAGCAGATCAACAGATGTTCCCGATCGATCAGCGGTACGCAATTAAAAAGGACATCCACGTAGTCGAAAACGTTCGGCGAATGAATCGAACGAGAACGGATCGAAAAGGCGAGCGAGAGCGAAAGAGAAAAAAAACTTTATCTCGTTTCTGAAAACGAAATTACCAAATGTCCTTTTAGCCGTGGACTCGAAAGTATCGAGCGTTGCGATTTAAAACGAGGCCAGCGTGGTAGACAATTTGTTCGGACTCGCGATAGTCCACAAAAGAACCACGAATTCCACGGTCCACGATAAAACACCGTGCACGTCGAAAATTTATATCCGTTGACCCCCCCCCCCTCCTCCCCTCCCCTCACCTATTCAGTTATCCAGGAGAAAATAATAAAACCAGACGACAATCGCAAATTCGAGAGCGAGCAATAACGCGTTCGATTAATCACGGTGAAGGGTTCTCTCCAATGGAAGCGCGCTTATCCTCAAGAAAATCTACACCTAAGCGAACGAAAACATTATCCCCGATTGTTCCGATCTTATTCAACCGTCGCTTCGTTGCTAAGTCGACTCGCCCCCCTCCGCCCCCTGGTTGCCACGACAGTGAAAGGGGAGAAGAAGCGAGCAAGGGAAGATGGAGAGAGGGAAAAAAACCTGAGAGGGAAGAAAACCTGAGATGAAAAAAAAGCCAACGACACTTTGGTCTTTGACCCTTTGACCCAGCGAGGAGGATCCAGGACACACATCTGCTCCGGGTGCACTAAAATTGCTGGCCAGAAGGAAGGAAGGAAGGAAGGAAGGAAGGAAGAATCGAGAAGACGAGAAGAATAGAGGCGGTCAGTGACAGTCATAGGAAGAGAGAAGGATCACGAAGGGTAGCGCGGTTGAGGGAAGGTCGAATCGTTCTGAAAGAGGAAAGATGAAGCCGGGTTCGGAGAAGGAATAGTATAGAAGTCCGGTTGTGCGAGCGCGGCCAAAGACAATGAAGGAAGAGGGAGGAGGGGGAGGAGGAGATCGGCGGAGCTCGGAACGCGAGCCGATCGCGTTGCACAATGAAGCAAAAGCAATTATTCGCGAAGCGTGGCTCTCCCCGTGAATGCGCGTTGGGAAACCGGCCAATGCGCCAGGATTATTGCATTTATCCATGATGCAACGTCGTTTAATTATGTGCTTAAATACGTGGCCGCGGTGCGTGGCCGTGCGTGCGCCCGATACGCTGGGAAACCCCCCTTTTTGTCGAGTGTACGATACGCGAACGGCGCGAGTAAACCAACCGAGCATTTCCAACGACGTCCCGACGACGGATGCGCCGAGTTTCTTACCGCTCTTGACACGTGTACTTAACTACGACGACTTAATGGGCTCGGCGTTCGCGTGGCGTAGCGGTAGCGTCGATTTTCCACCGTTTCCCTCTCGCGCTCGACGAAGATTAGAAAAGCTTCGGGAGAGCACTCGAACAACCTGATAACGATACGCCTGTTTCTCGCTCTCGTCATTACGTAAACGATGGAAAAATAATCGGTCGCGCGCCGTATCTATTCGCCTTGGCGAAATTGAGAAATCCACCCCGACTAGCCAAGTCATGTCTAATTTTTTTTTTTTTTTTTTTCTCTCTCCTTTTTTTTTTTTTTTCCAAAAAAGCTGCACGAATCCCCATTCACCGCGGCAGATTGGTCGGCTTGACGCTTGGATAAAAATTAACGAATCCCTTTTTTTTTTCCCCTCCGTGTTTACGCGTGCCGCGAATTTAATATTTAACACACATAAGCGAGGGGGGAGGGGAGGGGCGCGTGCACGCATGAATTCAAAGCGATGAAAATTTTAATTACGCGCGCGAGTCCGACGAACAGCAACGAGAACGTGCGAACGCGATTCACGCCCGAATGTTATTTTAATTAAAAGGTTGTCTCTCGTGTTCTTCGTTCGACTGGCTCGAACTTGGAAAGAGGGGGGGGGGGGAGAAAAACTTCAACCCCCCCTGTCGTCAGTCGCGTTTTATCCACCAGGTATATACCTGTCTAGATCACGCGTATCAACTTTTCTTCTCGCGATACTTTCCCCATTTTTATCGCCCTACACCGACGTTACATTTGCCCTCAGCCTGTCCACGAAACGACCGTTTGCTTATGTAACAAACGACCATCTTTGGAAGAAGACAACAGTCGGCTGCGGTTAGAAAAACGGTTGGATGAGAGACGACGACGGCGCCGCGGATACGATTTATCAACGTTCAAGAACGGAGATTAGCTTTCTCGCCGATAACGCGGGAGAGGACTCCTCTCTGCCGCTTACCGTTCGAGGAAAAGCACGTAATTTAAACTCGGTTTCAACCCGATCTCCCCTTTGTAGGGCTCTCTCACGGACTATCGCCGTTTGACCGTGCCGATGCAATGACCGATTCGCGCGCAATTATGGCAGAAAACGGGAGGGAAAAAGAAGTGGACTCGCGAAGAAGGCATTATCTAAAAGGAGACATAATTACACGTATCGGAGCTGCAACGAAAAATGCACGATGGATAATCCACTTGTATCATTAAGGTATATACATGCATTTTCCAGAACATTCTCTTCGCGCAATTTTTTGGTCATTATTACCAATATATTAAATAATATTATTATAGAAATAACTTCATCAAGATAAGCTCAAAAGCATCGTGTCGTTTGTTCATTTAAAAAAAAAAAAATTTATCAGTGTGATAACTGCAAAGTAGCTTTATCTGTCGACCACTTTAAACACCATCATACTCAACAAAACAATTAATCTACATTTCTATCGTTATTCCAATAATATACACGCACGTAGTAACGTCTCTGAGATTTCTTCTTTCTTACACAATTTTTATTTTTTATTGCAGATCGCTAAACTTTTATCGTATCAAACAGATTACTGATACAAAGTTTTTTTTTTTTTTTGCTTTTTGAAAATTTCCTACTTAAAAATATAATAAAAGAGAAACTGGCGATATTATTCATTCTTCCTTATGACGTATATGGGTAAATCTGTAGTCTTGGACCGAAAATATCGATCGAGGCGCCGGTGTCGCGAAAGAACACGAACGATATTCGAACCGATTGCGAAACCGTCGCGCGAATACACGGCGAAGGCCGATCGATTTTCCACGAAACGGCGATTCGCGGACTCCTTACGCGTCGCGCTTTGTCCCGAGTGCCGATAGAATGACGTTGATCTTTGCGCAATAAGTACTATAACTAGTAGGAAGAAAACAAACGAACGATACTTTATAAAACTGTCGTTCTCCTTACCTGATTCTCTATTGCGCCATCTTCCGAAAATCATGATCCCGTGATCAACAAAGAAATTTGTTAGCGATTTCCTCTTTCTTCGCTTCACCTTAGCTTCGGTCTCCAGCAACAGTCCTTAGAACGTGGCGATGAAAAGATCGGGAGAACACGTTTCCCAGCGCGATGTCATCTCGTGTGTACAGGCAAGGACGCACCGTTCGGGAAATCGGTAGGCAAACATAACCAACGATCAGACGGACGATTGTCGAAAAAAAAAAAAAAACAGCGCGTAAGTATCCTTGCTCAGCAACGAGGGACGAGCTTCGCCAACATCGTCATTTATTCCGACGGCCGTTTCCGAGAAACTGCTCTTCCACAGTTCCTGCCCGAGCGGTTTTTACCGTTCCCACATGACTAACAGGTTGGCCGTAAACGCCAGCCAACAACCGAAACCCTTCGCCGATACACTTTTCACTGACCGCTGTAGTCGACTGTTCTCTTCTCGTAACGAATAACGGAACGATTAGCCGAACCGGAAAAGGACAATGCACGCAGGAAGGAAGAAGAAAACGGCGGTAACCGACGTTGTCCGATGACTTGTTGCGACGTCTGCCACGATTCTTTGCAATTGAGGAGCAGAAGAGGAACAGTTTGGAAATATTCCACAACTCTCTCTCACCGTGTTGTCGTTTCTTGCCCAAGTATTCGCCCTTGGGGCTCGGAGGGTCTAATACACCGAGCTGAGAGAGCCCAGGTTTCTTGACAATTCCCGCGTAAACAAGCTTGTCGTCCGTTTTGTTCGTTGCGCACTTTCGATCGTTCCCGGAACTAGTCCTCAAGGTGTAACGAAACTTCAAAGGACAACGATCGAGGAATCGTGGTGGGAAAGATAGATTATAAAGGCAAAAGGACGCGGCATGAAACACGATGTTGCTTGTGCGGCGTCTCGCACTCGACTGCGTGGTCGCCCGTTCAGACCGAAGACCGATTTAAAGCTAAGCCGAAGTCTGCTGGCCGATATCTCGAGCCGGGCCGATTTTCTCGCCAGTTTTCCCGTGATTGCCGCTGAAATTGAAGGTGCACCACGCGCTACGGATAAAAACTGACAGGTAATTAACCCTCTCTATGGCGCGGGACAAAAGGAATTGCAATTGCTTCGCGCGTCGAAGATCGTGGAGTGGGGTGATTCATTTTTGAAATTGAAAAATCAACGTCTATCAGCCGGAGGTTGTTCTTCACCGTACAAACGAACAGCAGAATTTGACGAGTTCCGATTTCGTGACTGGATTCGATGCATATCGGCTCGGGAAACGTTTCCCAAGGTACATTAGACCCCTCGAAAAAGTACCCAGTCACTTTAAGTGCTTCCACTTTCGGAGGAGGATTGTATCTTGTGTCGTGTTCTTGCAATCGATATCTCGGCACAACGGCAATTATTTCAGTCTGTGTTTTTCTCTGTTAAATTTTTCGTATTTCTCGAATGACGGTATTTCAAAAAAAAAAAAAAAAGATCGTTGTTGGTACATTGTCGTTTCTTTTTCTTTCACGCCTTTGCGTCTTTATTGGTCGAATCTTTTTCGAAAATTAACGTGTTTGTTGTTAATTCGAATGTCAAGGTTTAATTAGACCGGTAATAGTTGTTGTTTCATCTTTTTTCTTCATCGTCGTTTCTAACGAGAAAGCGTATGTATACAAATATGCGCGCGCGCACTCGTGTACGTATTCGCACGCATACCTGTGACGCCTTTTATGTACAGTTTGAAAGGTTCGTTCCCTTCGGCTGACTATTGTTCGTTATCTCTGTCTACGCATAGGGGTCGATCTTACGTACTTTTTAGGGGTTCCAAACAATAATAGCGTGGAAACAAAAGACATTGCCATCCAGAACACCTGGAACTTTTTTTCATAACACGATTTGAAATTTATCTGAGATAGTAAGAATTTCAGTACGTCGTAAAATATATGCCCCCAGTGGAAATTGTACGTTTCACACGGGGGAAAATAGGAATTTCGACGAAACTTTCTCCTTTTTCGAAAAGTTAACGACCATAGATTGCTTCGTTTGATTACGACTACCCATGAAACTAAATACTTCTTTCAAGAAAACTATCACTTTTTAATTATTCGATTAAGCAATTATTACTTTTTAAAATATTCGATGACTGAAAACATACAAAATACGGGATTATTAATTATAAAATTTATAATTATAGTTATATAAATTATATATAGGAAGTATTTGTTTTCTTCGATAAAAATGCAAAATCTTGAATAATATATTTGTATATTATCTCAGAATATCTTAAATGATTTTCTTTTTTATACTTTAAATATACAAATCACTTGTTCCAATAATATTCTTTTTTAATTATAACAATACATTTTCTTAATGTATCTTTTATTACAGCGACTGAAATTATATTCTCAAAATAAATACATTTGTGGTTTATATTAACAGTTTTATGACGTTTGCATAACAATTGTGGTAAAAACATCAAAATAGTATTGTTTCTGTTAAATGTATGACTTTTTTTTAAAGGGACGATGTAAAGTAACACTAAAAATCATTCTTTCATTATATATATTATAATATTACATTTACATAACATCTTTACTAAAGTAATAAAAATTGTCTATTAGAATACAGGCAAATGTACAATTTTATTCATCAGAAATAACTTCCAAACCCTGAAAATTGATAAAAATTATATCAGATACACATTGTATAAATCAGATTTTAATTCATCAATATGATATGATATAATAATATAAGTAACAAGTCATTACACAGTGGAAATGTTGTAAAGTTACTTACATTCAACTTCCACTGCTCCTTGGTTAACGTCAAATCTCTAGCAAATGCTGTTTCCTCTATTTCAGTATCGTAAGTTCTTACATGTTTCTGTAATAGCAAAATATAAAAAAATTAGAACCTAAGATATATGAGATACAGTTTGTTCTATATACATTGAAACAAGTACAGAATACATATCATGCAGTATTACGTAGTATTAAGTAATGTGTTTATAAAACTAGTTGTTATAATAGCTACTAATAGTTTTATAATTTCTTTTAAATTCTTGCTTCAGAGGGGAATATAATCATATAAACTAGCATCTCGTCGCAATGTTCAATTGTATTTCTTATACAAATGTAATATTGAGGTTATGTTACAGACGTTACTTACTTTTCCAATCACAAGTTGATTTATGAACGGTGAAACATAAGCTGGTACTGCCAATAATGTTCCTACTATCAATAATGGTGGAAAGATGTTAAGCCACATCTTCGGAAAATTGTTTAATGTGTATAATATAAGTTTAAATTTCCTGGGCAGTTACGTGACTGACTAGTGACTGTGAATACTAATACGCGTTCAAGCGCAGAAGTAACTTACGCTTACGAATTATTTAAATAGCTTCAATTGTATTTGTTGTTGTACGTTTACTGATTAAAAAAAATATCACGTTCACATCATTTTTTTATCTTCGATTTGGGTATTAAATTAACGAGAACTGTTAAAATCAATGGGTTCGAAATATAAAAGCAATCAAATTGTTTGACTTATTGAAAAAATTGTATTATTGCAATAAATTTCAAGTTGTCTGATAATAAATCAAATCCCTCTTTTTATAATATTACATTAAATTTCTGTGCATACGTTTTAAAATGCACGTTTGATTCGTTTTATTATTGGTTAATATATGTGTGTAGATAGGATCAATTATTTAGTAAGAAATTTGAAAAACAAAATATGAAGTAAATGTAACTTTTAATGACAACTTGATACTAAGAATTAGAAATAATTTACATTAATTAAGTGTATAGTTATTAAATAAAGCAATCACATGATGAATACAATTATTTTAAGCTAATAAAAGACTAAATGTTAAATTTATTTTTTTCAGTCATCAATGTAGCTTTTAATTAATGAAATGCGACATCAATGTAGCTTTTAATTAATGAAATGCGAGTTACTTTACTTTAATTCACCCAGAATAGTATGGAAACATTAATGACGTTAATGAAAGTTTGAGAAAATATTTATTATATTAAAATTCATATCGATGTCTCTGAATATCTTTATATGTTACTTCACACAAATTTTAAGCAGTTTCGCCTTCCCTTTTCGTAACGTTATGTTATCACAAAGTTTACGACGTAAACTTACGTATGACAACATATTCGTAATTTGATATAAAATATCTATCTTTAGATTTAATAAATTTTCTTTCACTCGTTTAATCAAATTGTTCCGTGACAACGATCACGTTCTCAATGATATTTAATTATTTTTGCATCAAAATGGTAAGTGCCATGGCAAACATTTCTTTTTAATGAAGAAAAAAAAGAATATTAAATTATTTAACTTTTATAGCAATAACAAAATAGTGTTTCAAGTTAATTTAATAATTCAAAAGTAAACATAATTTCATATATGCATATTTTAGGAGAGTTTAAGAAATATCTTCAAACCACCAAAGATGATGCTGAAAATGTATTTCCTGATTATTCTAATACTGGATCTGTGGGCACTGTTATTTAAAATATTTTATGCTACTATAATTGCATTATACAGAATATTTAGACCTCCTCCATTGAAAGATCTTACGTCCGAAGTTGCAATGGTAATAAACTTTACAGTTTTATTTATAAAGAATCGTTCGGTATCAAACATTAATCTTGTGGTTTTAGGTTGTCGGAGCAGGCCAAGGTATAGGTAGAGAAATGGCAATTCATTTGTGTAAACTTCATGTTAAGGTTGCTTGTATCGACATTAACAAAGACGATTGTAATACTACCGTACAGTTGGCTCTATCTCAATTAATAGGAATTGCTAGAGTGTACATTTGCAATATAACAGATGAGAATGAGGTGAGCACAATATTTATAAAATATGCGTTTTCATTGTACAATGAGTGTATTATTGATTTGATTGTAAATAAAATATAATAGGTAGCTCGTGTAGTGAATGCTATTCAAGTAGACTTAGGTGACGTTACAATGCTTTTCCATTGCTGCAGTATACCAAGTCCTAAAGTATTATGTATGGGACATCAGCCTGTCCCTAAAATAAAACATACAATTAATCGGACGATTTTAAGTCATTTCTGGGTAAATATCTTTTATGTGATACATACATAGTTTGTTATAGTAATTACAAATTTTCATTTTAAATTTTACTTTTAGTTATTGGATAAGGTTTTACCATCTATGGCACGTGCAGGTAGAGGACATATAGTAGTTCTGTCATCAGTGGCTGGCCTTTTTCATACTACCCCAGGAAGAAGCAGAATTCCTTTATCTGCTGCACAATTTGCAGTTCAAGGATTAGCTAAATCGATACATACTGAAGCCAGACATTCAAATACTAATATTACAGTTACTCTAGTTCATGTTTATCCATTCATTGTGGGCGCAGAAGTAAAAAGAGATATCCGTTTTAGGTAAACAATAAAACAATGATATTTGATTTGATCCAAAATTTATTTATCACAATTCTGGCAGAATACCGAGTTTCTTTGGCACAGTGTCCGCCAAAGAAGCAGCTAAACAAATTTTAGATGGAGTTCGTCGGAATTATTTGGAATTTAGTGTGCCTGGATATATTTTTTACTTGAGCAATATTTCTAGGTAAATTGGATGTTAATATCAGCAAGCGCATAAAATCTTGTTTATAATTAATATTTTATTTTTAGAATATTTCCAAAAGAGGTATTATTTCTGGTGCGTGATTTTCTAGACACTGGTGTTGATTTTGGGTAATATTTAATTTTTTCAATCAAATATGAGAATATATTTTTATTATAACATTTTTACAATATTAGCTATAATATATGTTGCAAGATATTGCGTAAGAAATTTTTTTTTATAACGAGAAACGAATATTTTATTTAGTTTTTATTTGATTTATAAAATATTTCTCGATATATATACTTGACTTGTAACTTGTTTCATAGTTTGGTACAAAATTTTACATATATTTTTACTTTATTTTTACATATTCTTATATTTATATAAAACGAAATACGTTAGTTATTAAATAAATAATTATATGAGCCGCTATATATAAGATATTGTGTATTTGTAGCATAACTGAAGCATCAAGTAATATTTAAAATAGATTTTATACTTACGTTTTGCGTACAATACATATGTAAATACAAGATGTAAAATGAATAAAATCTGTATTAGACAAGTGCTATTCACAGTGTAAAAATAAGTTATGTACACGGTATTGGTATTATGACGAATAGCAAAATATACAGGAAACTATAGTCCAGTTTTTAATATTGTACATAATTTATATATACACAAGTTTGTAGCTACGTATTATTTTCTGAACTTTTTGTCCTCAATTATGTGCATGTTTTACAAAATCACTCAGATATTAATAAATAGATATGAATATTTAACTATTTATAGTAATGTTATTTTTATGGAAACAGAAGTAACGAAAAAAACTAAATCTCTATCTCGTAGGGTTTCAATATCAACTTATTGAAACATAAATAAAAATATACTATGTAGTGAAAATAATGTATATATATATATATATATATACATTTATACGCAGAAAAATTCTATTTACAAAATAAAATTAAATAGAGATTTGTCATAATTGTAAGATTAATTAAATTTTAAGTAAGAAATATTTACATGTAATGTTTGACTTGATAAATATGTGGATCTAACGTTTCAGATTACTAGATATTTCAGATATGATTGGATATAAAAAAAAAAAAAATAATTTATAATTTACAAGGTAAATTCATTAAAATTGGGACAATCTGTTGATGATGATTCAAATCCCAACACTGGAATAAGTTTATGCTAATCTAAGCCAGGCGGAGCTGGTTCTGAAACATCAGTTTCCATAGTATCTGGTTTTTGTTCGATCGGATAATCACCGGGTGGTGCCTGCAAGAAATTCAAGGAAAAACTATTTGGATCAGTTCATATATTTATTTTTTTTTTCATAATAATATAAAAATCAACTTTTTATATACAAGTATTTTTACTCACAATATCAAATTCATCATGCATGTCGCAAAGTGATTTACCCTGGATTACGTCCATTATTGATTGCGGAATGTGCGCTTTCTGAAATGTTACATCATTTTTGTAGTAAATTGTTTTAATAAAATACAAAACAGGGAACAAGCACATAAAGTATATTGATAATAAATATACCTGATTTTCGGCAAAGGCTTCGACATGCGCTAATAAGGGTGCTCGTAAGTTACTCGCCATTTTTAGTGCTTCGGCCAATTGTGTTGGCGGAAGTTGTAAAATAACCGCGAAACTCTGCGGTTGCGTACGTTCGCAACATTTTACAAAACCCTCCCAGACTTTTGGTTGTTTCCAAACTTGCTTGAGAATTAATCGTTGAAGTATATTCATAACGAATCCACTTAACCTAGGATATAATGCTAAACTTTGTATCACTGTACGCATGAGTAATGTAGGAAGCGGTGTCATCTCCATAAGATGTTGCATCACAACAGCAACAGTTTCTTGCGTATATATCTGTTTTTCCGCGAAACATAGAGACGTAGCTGCAAATTAATAGTAATTAATTAATAAAATATAAACTTTGAATAGACTATTGGAGATCATTTTAAAATAAACTATAAGGGAATTCTATATACCTTTTATAATCGTTTTTAATTCTGCTTTGCTTGGATCTATATTATGTAAAGCTATTAACAATTCAGCAGGTGTGATAGGAGACGTATGAGGTACGCCACTTTCATTATTATGGGTGCCCAATAGTCTATTAAATACCTGTAAAAAAAGGAATCATTGTCATACAACATTACGATACCGAACTTCATTTTAAATTTAGGTAATATTATTCCTTATTGTTTACCTCTTTAACAACAATGGGATTTAACTTTATGAGCTTTGGAAGAGCGGCTATAACTTCTTTTTTCGTTAAACCATTCAACACTGGTATTAAGAATCGAACATCGGAAACTCTGGTTTGATAAAGTTCTCGCACCCTTGCTACTAATTCTGCACTCGGCGCGGCTGAAAATAAAAGAAATGTTGCATATTGCATTAACGTTTCAAAAAATGTAAAATGATTAAAAGTGTAAATATACATACATTTTTCTGTGAGGATATGAATAATTCTAGTAACTAGTGTTTCAGCGCCTTTAGGACAATTTTCAACTAATGCCAATAATTGTGGACTGCCCATTCCTAAAGATCGTACAGGTCCTTCTACCAGTCGAAGAACCATACGTTTTACATCGGCACTCATCGATGTATAAACTCTCGCCAATCTAGCAAAACAGGATTAATAAGAATTTGTATTTAACGTAAGCATTTATCAAATAAGTAATATTTACTCGTGAATTAAATCTTGGTGTTCACTCAACAGAGCAAGATACAATCCAAGGCAAGCTCTTGTAGTTGACTCCGTCCATTGAGTTTCCACTTGCGGTCTACCTCGATCTTGTCCGAAAACAATCTCAGGTGGTGTATGTAATCGTAAAAAACCTAAATAAAGTACTGCGTACTCTTCTATGAGTTTGCTTAATTCGGGACGACTATATAGTTGACAAACTAATTGTATAGCAGCTTCCCTTATCTATTTATGAACAGAAAATTAAAGTACTGAAGACCTACGTGTCTCAGATGTAATATCTGGATTACAAAAGTACCTAATTACAACTTACTGTATTGTTTTCATGACCAGTATGACATAATAATACATTCAGGAAAACCAATTGTTTTGTTGGTCTACGAATAACCATTTCTTTTAATAATTGTAACGGCATCAATCCTCTAGTTTCGTCCGAAGATACCACTTTCAAGGCCTCAACTGCATCCTCGGTGATTAAAGGAGCTTCCAAGTAAAGCCTTTTTAAAATACACATATTATTAACATTACATATTCTGTTATTAAATACATCACTGAAATTACATATTACCTATATAGCAATGTGTCACGGTCTTTGCCTTGAACTAAATCTATTGCAGATACTAAAGTACATAACAAAAAATTGTACGCTTGATGCGGAGCTTCCTGGGGTTTCGCACACAATGTAGTTCGTCTTTGAAAACCCTGAAGCAATGCGTATTCTTCGTACAACCAACCTAAAGCTAAGTCTAAACGATTTCTCATATCGTCAGTAATATAACGTAATACTGCTTCCTTAATGTATGGGTTAAACGTTGCAGCTAGGGTAGTCAGAATTTTTGATCTAAGGAGAAACGACAAAAAATATTTTTTTTCGATTGAAGATATTTTCAAATAAATAATTCATAAATAGTTCATAAATTGACGTACCTTATAGCTGCTACGCCACCAAATACAGCTGTTTTCTCGGAAAGTAAAATTCGATTTACAGCCATCAGTAACATTTTTTCTTTAATTTCTTTTGATAATGGTTTTGTAACTTCAGACAATTTTAAAGCTTTCAAACGAGTTCTCGTTTTTGCGAGCGATTTTTCATGTGCCTCTAAAGATGCTTTTGCCTCTTTCTCTTTCTCTCTGTCTTTTTCACGCTTTCGCTCTCGTTTCGCTTCCGCTACGCTGATGGTTGGATTTTTCACTAAATCTTCCATCACAGCATCTTCATCTTTAGTATCTTTTTTCTTCTTTGTTTTAGCTTGCCTTATCTGTGTCGCTAGTAATTTAGCAATCGTATGTCGTTGAATATTTATATCGGTCGTTGAAGAAGGTTGATATTCTCTTTGAAAAATTGTTGTCATTGTATCAGGGACCCATGCCTGTTGATGAAATACATTTAATAAGAAAAAATGGAAGCATTGAATGCTAGTTAATTTTATATAAAAATATATCGACCATGCTATCCATGACTAAATCTGTAGCAATTTCCACACTTAATCTCTCAGCAATGAAACTTTCTGAAAGTTCAACCAATTCTGGTAATTTTGAGGTAAGTACTAAACTGGATACAATTTCCGATTCATCTGGTATTAGGGAAGTTTCGATTTTAACACGCTTTGCAGCGGAGGATGCAGCAGCCTCCTAAAAATCAAGTAAAATTTCGAATAATAGAATTATTAGTTTTTATGATAAGAATTAATTGTATGTTTACTTGTTGCCGTTTCTTCATACGTCGAATATCTTCTGGTTTTGGATAAGCTTTAACAATCTCTTGTTCTTTCGCTCCTAGTTGAGTCAATTGCTTAGCTATTGCAGGTGCAAATTCTATGCTAGCTGGGTGCTTCATCAACCCTAATAGAGTTAATTTTAATTGTTTCTGAACACTAGTTACTTGAGAATCAGACAATGTGGGTGGTAGATCATGTTGTAACCTCTGCAAAGCTATAAATTGATGTCTTATTAATTTAATGTGATTAATGTAATGAATTTTCCTGCTGAACGTTTTGTGTACCTTGTATTACACCCGGCATGAACTGAGGTCTTGTTTTAGCAATCAGTGCTAAAGATCCCATACATGTCATTAAATTAACGCTACTGACATGTGGAGACCCGTGAAATTTGATTAATAAATCCATCACGTCGTTAGCTTCTTCCTCTAATTTCCGTCTACGTGCTATTTTCAATGTTAATGGAATATCTTCTAAAGAAAAATCATCTGGTTTTTTAGGAATATCTGGATCTGGATACGTTTGTATCAAAACAACACCTTCAAGAAATTTCACAGCTTGCGTCCTAATACTGAATGTAATGAAGGAAACATTAGAAATGAACATTTAATTAACAAACATGAAGTTAAAACTAGAAGACTTCTCATACCCATCATTATCGCTGTCAATCATATCTATAATTTGAACTTTGAGAGCGCTAAGTTGGTTCCATGCTACTTCCATCTCTGGCGTGACTGTGATGGCACTAGATATCCATTTCAATGCAGCTCTTAATATCCTACCACTAGCTCTAAGAGCTCTTTTAGCAACAGCTGATGATTCATCAGAAACTAATCGTAAAAGTGTCTGAACTACACGTGGAATTACCTCTGGTTGTTTTACTCTGCAAATAAAGTACAAATGTTTTATCCATGATAGAAACAATATTACAATATTACATACTACATTATAGATTCCAGTAATGATTATTACCCAGCTTCTTCTATGAAACCTGTAATTGTTTTCCTAACTTCTGCATTTCTATCTAAAGAGAACTGCAACGCTTCATCCAAATATAATGGAAGTAATTGTGGTTCCTTGTTTATCAATATTTCTTGAACTTTGCATAAATTTGCAACTTTCACGTCTTCCTCCGAGCTTAATGAAGCCTCATTCAACCATTCAACTATCTGCAAGACATAATCCTTATTTTTTGTTTATACAGCAAAGGCAATTGAAATATTTTACAACTAGAAATTTTTCAGCTTCTTGTAATTGAAATTTTTCTCGAATAACTGTCATAGGTATTATGTTTATATACTTATATATATATATGTATCTATTGTAAATGCTTATTTTGTAATCATAAAATACATCTGCGAAATGACAAGGTTAATGCACTGACCAAATCACCCGGTCCCTTTTCCGGCTCTGTTCTTCTATGTATTCGAGGATCCATTCTATACCAATAAACAAATCATCTAAAGCTAAATGCAGGCAATGATTATTTAAAAAAAAAATATTGCCCGAAAATAATTAACAGAATTTTCGATATGCTGGTATATATGTTCGTTCCTTTTACGGATTTCTACCTACTTAAAAAAATAGATAATCTATATCTTCAATAATTTAGCAAAGAATTTGTATTTTTCTACGAAATCGTTTTTTCGAGTATTGTATTGGAAATTTCAATCAATAAACAATAAAAGCTGTCCCAATATCGAACGAAATCGTTTGCGTTGCCATATTGGCATTTTTCCCTGGCGCTATAATCGTTCCTATATTCGTTGACGAATTGAAGCGGGAATTTCAAGATTTCATTGCACCTTTTATTAATTTCTCGAATACTGTTGGTACTATACCACGTCAATATAATTTTTAAGCACTATACTTGTCCCGAACTTAAACGGCCAAACTGCGAGGGCTGTTCTACACATAGAAAGAAAGAAAAAAATGTTTTGGAAAGTTTGTCAGGAAACAGAGTTATAAACAAATATTGTATGTATAAAATGGCTACGCATTTTTCTTTCTCATTTGATTTTTCACTTATGGAATGCTTTAAAACAAAAGATTGACTCAATAGAAGTAATGTTGTGTATATATATATATATATATACACAACATTACTAGTAGATATGTATAGATTAGTTGTAAACATGAATAAAATTTCAGAGAAACGATATTGTTTACGAGAAATTTTAATACTGATAGATTTCATTCTCATTTGAGACACAAAACTAGATAAGATTAAAAATTATATTTAAACTCCAAATGTCAAAGATCATTATACATGTATTTTGTTTCATCACGTAGGTTGTTTTGATTAAACGAGAAAACATAACATGCTATCGTGGACATTTATTTGTACATATGTATTAATTATTAATCATTGTGTTAATCGTTCGAAGTTTATTTCCATTTCGCGAGTGAGCGTAACAGTGTTGTGTATTCACGCTGCCAAGTGACATGATTTCAAGCTTTTATAAAAAGATTGTCGGTACGTCTTCTACTGTGGAGTCAAATCAGCAGAAAATTCTTTGTGTTGGATTAACCTGCTTAGATATTGTACAAACGTGCAAACAATATCCTGCGGAAGATTCCGATCAAAGGTAAGACATCTTTCCACGTGTGATTGTACATTGTTATTATCAATTCACTGCCTTATATGGATCAGCTGATATTAATGAAGACGTAAACAACGTATATTTAATTTCTAATACCGTTCTCATAATTCATACTTATAATGACTTTGATTTTTGTAACGAATAGAAATATATCTTTTAGTAATTGCAATAATAGTGGAATAATATGTAATTTTTTCATCGTGATTTGCAGGTCTGTAGATTGTAGGTGGCAAAGAGGAGGAAACGCATCTAACACTTGCACAGTTCTTTCTCAATTGGGAAGCTCATGCGAATTTTTTGGCACTTTAAGTGCAGAAGAACATTTAAGCTTTTTGCAAAATGATATGCAAAATTACAACATTGACTATTCTCATTGTCCTATGATAGAAAATATAGGATGTCCAACGTCTACTGTTATTCTGAGTCTAAGATCTGGTTCTCGTACAATTTTACATCACAATCCAAACTTGCCAGAGTTAACGTTGAAGAATTTTGAACAGCTACATTTAGAAGATTACAGTTGGATTCACTTTGAAGGTAGAAATTTGACAGAAGTATTATCTATGATGCAGTGTGTGGAAAACTATAATAACATGTTGAATTATAGTCAAGATACTAATAACAAAGAAACTAAATCAAGTCAAGCATCCATTACTATTAGCGTAGAATTAGAACGTCCACGACAGGAATTGTTAGATTTACTACCTTATGTTGATGTAGCATTTATATCTAAAGATTTTGCCCAAAGCAGAGGGTATGATAGTATGAGTGAAACATTAAAGAACATTAGCGAAGATGCCAAGTCAGGGTATGAGTTTATATAAAAAAAGTATTTTGAACTTTTATGAGTGGAAAATTCAGGTACTGAAATAAATTTTTTTTCTAGAGCAACTCTTATATGTGCTTGGGCCGACAGAGGTGCTATGGCAAGAACTCCAGATAATATTATAGTACAGTCTCCTGCATTTCCACCACAGAAAGTGGTGGACACCTTAGGTGCTGGAGATACTTTCAATGCTGCAGTAATACATTTTTTAAATAAAGCAAAATTGGAATTCATTAGAAGAAGAAAGTTAAAGTCATGTGAAATGAACAGTGCCTTACAGAAGGATGTAGAAATAAAACGCAATATTAAAATGAATTATAATATTGAAAGTTCAGAATGCAGCCATACAGAATTTATAACACAAAATGTCTTGCAAGCAGCTGTAAGTTTTGCTTGCCAAGTAGCTGGTGCTAAAGTCGGTTTGAGAGGGTACAATAAACTAGATGAAATTTTTAAGGATGCATGTCAAAAAGTAAATTAAAATATATTGTATATAAATCTTGCGTTATATTGTATATAAATCTTATAGAAAATGAATTGTATTTGAATGAAATTATTGATCTTTTAGGGAAAAAATTTGAAAAATTTTGTAAAAATAAAAATTCAAAATATTTTGTTTACTTAACATTTGTATATTTTATATATAAATATTTAGAAATATCTTCTCACTTGCATTTTGATTATATTATTATTATGATTACATCCTTACAAATTATCAATAAATAATAATGCAAATTTAAGATCCATAAGTACATAATTGAAGATTATTATAAGATATCATTTTAAAAGTATCATTATGAATTATAAAACTATTAAATAAACACTTTTTTTTACATAACTTATTACAAGAATTTATAAGATATTTAATCTTCTACATCAACGCCAATTTTCAGAAAATTGCTTGTATGTTCTCTGCATGAATGTGGCATACACCTGAAATGAGAAATATTATTAAATGAGAAATTTGCGATATTGTATTGTCTATATACCTCATAAAAGAGTTAATATAAAACCAATATGAGGGAATGGAAACTTCTCTGATATTTCGCCGTTGTGCTTTAATTATTGCATCAACTGCCTCTTTTATTGAAATCAACTGCATGCTCTGGAACCTGAGCAGATGTTATATAAGTATTAAGTATTATATATATGTAATGTAATTCATATGATGATTTATATGATTCATATGATATGGCAATTTAAATTGTGTTTATTCCTTTATATTCCATCAGTACATGTTCATTCTATGTATCTATCATAGAGAACACTATGTATCAAATCTGCATGGAAATTATAAACTCATTGTCTATATTGTTAAATTATTTAATAGTCGCATTATCAGTAATTTTCTAGTTTTTCAATTATGTCTACAAGATAGTTTACCTGTACAATGGTTTTTTGCAGAGTCCTGTGTTTACCATGTATGGGTAAATTGTCGTGAATTTGATATTTGATGGTTTTCCTCCGTTTTGTACTCGCAGTTCTTCGCACAGTGCCTCCATTAATCCTTCATAAAAAAAAAAAAGAAGTAGTAACACAAAACACATAAAAACATTCCAATGCCTTTATAAAAAAAAAAAAGAAGTAGTAACACAAAAACACATCAATAAGAAAAAAAAAAAAAAAAAAAAAAAACGAATATGTATCAGTTTTACCTCTTACTGCAAACTTTGAAGAACAATAAGGAACTATATTGGGTAGACCAAAAAGTCCAGCCATTGACGAAATAGAAACGATATGACCGTAGTCGTTTTGTATCATATTGGGCAAGAAAGCCTGAAGAATCTACGGACAAATTATTTAGTTCACGAGTGCAGCAGCAGCGAAATCTTTTCGAAAAAAAAGAAAAAAAAACTCGTGGAACAAATTACCCAGTGATGTGACAATACATTGATGTCAAATACTCGTTTAATAAGTTCGGGTGTATGATCCACGAAATGGTAACTGGGCATTATACCAGCATTGTTAATCAAGATTGTTACATCTCCCACTTCCTTCTTCACTTTCTCTGCTGTTTCAATAACCTCCTCTCTGTTCGATACGTCGCATCTATGGATCGTGTGAAGAGATACAAGTATTTAATTTTATAACGAAAAATAAATTGTAAGATTCTAACGTACTTATAACCGTAAGCTCTAGAGACGCCGTTTTGTTTGATTTCTTCGACGGTTTCATTGTTCCCCTGTTCATTTATGTCCCAACAGACAACAGTCGCCCCCAATGAGGCATATTTTAATGCCAGTTCTCTACCAATGCCATGTCCAGTGCCTGTAATCTGAAATTAATTATTTATGCAAAGTACGTGATTTACAAAATTAACTAAACAAACAACTAAATAAATAAAACTGAACAAATTATTTATGTACAGTACGTGATCATCGTACGATATTAAGATTGTGGATTTTCCCGAACTTATATAATTTTTCTATTGCTAATGTTAATGCTTTAATCATTGAATTTAAAATTTATTTAAATTATGTGTAATTTACCAGAACGACTTCACCAAGTACACTTTTTTCTGCGTCCGGAATGCATAGTTTATAGATTCCTTTGATAATATTATAAATTATCGACGAAAAAAGCAGCAATACGTCGATTAGTATAACTGCGTACCTCTTGATCATGATTTTTTTCAAATAATATCCTGTAAGAAATGCAGTTAATTGATTTGTTATGTGAATTCATATGTAAATGGGTATATCATTTAAATTTCAAATTCTAATAGCTGCGAAGTATGGTAAATTAACATATGCAACAGGGAAGGAAGAGATCTCCATAAATAAATATAATGTCTAGAGCGTCTTGTTTTGTTGTTCGATACAGAAATATGAATATCAAACACTAAACTTCTTATTCCCATTGCCATTCCAATATTTATATTATAAATTTACAGATTCACTTCCTCAATTCATTGTATCCTTCTATGTTACAGAAATTTGTTATGGAAATATGTATACAGAATATTTTGAACAATCTTCTCCTCTGATAAAAAGTGTCAGATTCTGTTGGTCTTTACAATCACTGAACTAATGCAATGAAGTGTTGCAACTTTTAGATACCAAACGAATGTGATGAAGAGCTGCAACTTTGCAAATTTTAGATATCAAACTGATGTGACGAAGAGTGCAACGGGTTAAAGAAACAATGCGAAACGATGCGGCGTAATGGAAAGTTACTCACCAGTGACGTCAGTAATGAAAAGTTAGTTTGACGAAATAGAAGAATTTCTTGCGAACAAAATACTCTGTCTAGGATAGCATCCGGCTTATGAACTTCAGTCGTTCGTATCTGGTTGACAACTACCTGGAATCATCACTGTGCACTGCTACGCAGTCTATTGAGTGTTTTTTTTTTAGCTACAGCACGATCGACATGGATTAGGTAACAATTAGTCGTTCTACAGATAATAAAATAGAATATTCTCAAAGTACTAATACAATATGTAAATTTAACGTTATGAAAAATTAACGTTATTTCTTTTATTCCTGGCTTTGTTTGTATACTGTATTCTTCCACTGTACAGTGAATGATAGGTATATTGGTTGATCTTGCCTTGGTAACTACTTTTATAACGAATAAAAAACATATATGATAAATATTTCATTTAGAAAACTGCATACGTTACTGTATAAAACTTTGCAAAACACCTTTTAATGCAAAACTATTGTGTTGACTATAAAAGAATTAAAATTTTTCTTCTCTTCCATAACATTGTACATCTAATTGTATATTTTATACTTTCTGCAAACATACTTTTCATGTATCTTTAAATATACATGGATAAATTAATTATTGTCAGTTTATTGTTCAGTGAATGAAGTATTATATATTATACAGCGAAGAAATACATTCTAGCTCACTTTGGCAAATGAGTGCAGCGCATTGTTCGCATTATTAAAATAATGTATCGCTTTTTTTATTAGTTTTACTTATTTAAGTTTATCATTTCGTTGACGACCAACTCATTTTCGACAACGGTGGAGTTATTGAAGTTGCTCATCTTTTCACCTTTGGCTCGATGAAGAAAACACGAGCACGAAAACCTTGACCATGAGGGTGAAAAATTATGAATCACAATGGTCGTCGTTCTGAATTAAATAACGTTCGTTTTGACATATGTATCGCTTCTGCCGGTTTCGTTTATTTCTGAACAGTTTCTTTTGAGGTAGTACATCATGCTTAGTGAGAATTTTGTAAAATTCAAGAAAGAACGTATCAGCGAGTTTTGACGCAGAAATAAAAATAATAGAAATAGAAATAAATAATTGGACACTACTTGCAAAATGACTCAATCGTTTTTGACATTTTTTACTTGTTCACAGATTTACATTCTGCGATTTCATTGTACTTGATTTCTTCGTAATGTCACTTAGCATTTTCACGTTTTATCAGAGATAAAACCTGTTTCTCTCTTTTTTGAAGACATTATTAATAAGAATGTTAATTTTTTCTAATTTTATTAGTACTGACTGTGTTAGTTCTCTGTGGTACGTTATAAATTTAGTTTACACGAGGGAATATTTATTTAATACGTTCGCATACTTACGACACGTCAGAACAATAATTCTTGTCGACATTATTTCTACATTTTATCTGTATAATTAAAATTACATTTAAATACTGAAACATCGTAGAATTTGTAATGTACGAATAAGTAAGGTGGATAAAAATAAAAGAAGTAGGACTTATCTATGTACATAAATTTACAATTCGTTCAATTTAAAAAAAGGGGAAATTGATGAAGAATTCACGAATCTTCTTTCATCTCTATCGACGTGCCGAATATTTTTATTAACCTCTCGCGCTAGTAACTGGTTCGCGAACCATAACGAGTGACCAAACCGTATATAACAATTGGCCTTCTTTTTTGAATTCATCGGTACATCACTGGATAGAAATTACCAAGAAGTAATAAATTTATTATTTGTTTTGCCTGGATTATATTTCAATATACTTAAAACTGAGAAATTATTGCAATTTTGGGACAAATACTCTCGACGTGCGTGACACGTCATTCCAGCGTAAGAGGTTAACCTCTGGCAACTGATTGCGGACCATAACGAGTGACCAAACCGTATATAACAATTCGTTTTCTTTTTTGAATTCATCGGTACATCACTGGATAGAAATTACCAAGAAGTAATAAATTTATTATTTGTTTTGCCTGGATTATATTTCAATATACTGAAACTGAGAAATTATTGCAATTTTGGGACAAATATTCTCGACGCGCGTGGCACGTCATTCCAGCGCAAGAGGATATGGAAAAGTGTAAAATATCTTTATGGAGAAATATATGGAAAAAGTTAGCGTACACGTCTAGGAAATTATTGATGTTTGGTATGACCTTTTGAAAATTAGATTACAGATTTGAAAATTAAAGTTATTACCATTTTATTAAATTATTAAATATAGTTTACGATATCAGCTGCTAAAAACCAAAGAGACTATCGAGGTCCATTAGCTCAGTTGGTTAGAGCGTCGTGCTAATAACGCGAAGGTCGTGGGTTCGATCCCCCCATGGACCAAATTTTTTTTTACTTGATCTTTTGATTATGATTAAAATCATGCAATTATATATTTCTGTACACGTTAAATGAAATAATTATCAACTAACTAAGTAGAGATAGTGACAAATTATGATTTAGTTAAAAGCGTGTGAGGTTCAACAATAAACATCTTGAATTAATGAACCTTCTGAAAGTTTAAATGTACTTCATGGACATTGAAAATTATTCAATTAAATGTTTAACGCTTTCCTGCATTATTTGTATAGCTATTCTTAAAAGATAGACTATTTTACATAAATTAGTATTATATGTCACAAATTTATAAATTAGCATTTAGTATATATCAACAGAGTTATAAGTTAAAAACTAACCGTGCAAACGTAGTTTCACTTTGTAAAAAATATAAAAATTGCAGTGCTTATTGTTGCCTTGAATTAATGCAGCCTATGAAACAATAAAACTGTAAAATTACTGATCACTGATTGGAGAAAGTGTTTTTTGGGAGTATTGACAAATATTACCACCTCTGACTTCACTGAAGGTTAAGCAGGAAAAAGTCCATTGTAAGTTGAACCTTCATCGCGTACACATCGATTAAACTATCGAGGTGAATTTTTAAATAATATTAATGAATATTCTAATTGTTTAAACAATATCTAATATTTCTAATAATTTACTTGCAACAATTAAACAATAAATTCTCTTCTATAATTGTTTAAACATTATCTAGTATTTCTAACAATTTACTTGCAACAATTAAGCAATAAATTCTCTTCTGTAATGTTTCAAAGTGTTATTTAAAATTTTTAACTAATAAGTTATAACAATCTTGAACAATGTGCTTAAGAGAAATGTCTTTGAATTATCGAATGAAATAATTAATTTAATCGTTTCATCGTTTGATATAAAAGTTGTGAAAATTATTAAATAATGTCTAGAAATATTGTAGAAATAAAATAATTCGTTTCAAATGAATTATTGAAACTGTAAAATAATGCATTTCGATGATATTTTTGTATATTAACAATTTTAACTATTTAATTATAACAATTGAATCAGTGCTTGAACTCTCAAGCATTTTTTCATAGTTTCAACAATTCATTGGTAATAATTAAATTATTTTATTTACAATAACGGAAAAGATAGTTAAATGATACATGTATTTCCTGCTATTTGAAACAACAAACGAGCGAAAATTTTTATATGTTGCGCTTTTATGTTATTCTGAAATGCTTAACTCGATTTTTGATTACATAACTTTTCTTTACATAAATTTCTATTCAATATACATCAGTGCAGTTATAACTTAAAAATTAATATCACGAAAGTGTAAATTTCGTTTTAGACAGTTATAGACTAAAAAATTAATAAATTATTACATTTGACATTGTAACGTATTTACGAAAATGTAACCTTGCGATAGAAATCTAAAAACTATTCATTAGTATAATAGAGAAAGTTTTGGAATACTGAAAAAAAGTTATCATCACTTCCGGATTATTGACGATCGGAACATTGTATTAACCTTCAGCGGTACGGAGGCTCATTACTAATCGAACTTTCGTCGTGTGCACATCGACTAAAATTTACGGGTGAATTTTTCTGAATATTCTATTTGTTTAAACATTATCTAATATTTCTAATAATTTATTCGTAACAATTAAACAATAAACTCTCTTTCACAATTGTTTAAACATTATTCCAATATTTCTAATAATTTATTTGTAACAATTAAACAATAAACTCTCTTTTACAATTGTTTAAACATTATCTAATATTTTAAATAATTTATTTATTTGTAACAATTAAACAATAAATTCTCTCCTATAATTGTTTAAACATTATCCAATATTTCTAATAATTTATTTGTAACAATTAAACAATAAATTCTCTTCTATAACATTTCTAAGTACTATTTAAAATTTTTAATTAATCATTTGTAGTAATCCAGCCACTAATACATTTCTAACAAACTTTAATTAACTGTTTCGCATCATTAACGAATTATTTTAATTATTTTTACAATTATTTAATTATTTTCATTATCATCGTGATTATTTGAACATTGAACATCAGCTCAATTGCCATGACTCGTATCGTAGTCGTAATAGTTACATTCTTTAATAATTACCACAATATGTCTAGATGTGCATAGATAATATTAGCCTAATAATACTATTATTATTTAAATATTATTAGATACTTTCAGTACTTCTCTCTGAATCTATAATTAGGAAGATAATTTAGTCCTTTACTATTAATTTGTCAAGACAAGAATATTTATTCAATATTCCAAATTAGTCGTTAGATTGATCGTATAATTATGCCTTACTTTGTCAACATCTTCTCTCTTTCCAACTAATTACTTAAAATTCAATACAAGTCGTGACCTGTGTGATAAATATATAAAATAGTACTGATTTACAATACATTATAATGAGATCCGTGCGTAGTCACCTCCACGTGGTGGGTCTTGGTAATTGATATCGTTTTACAGACTGTAATGTTTGTAAAACGATATCAAGCTAAGAACTACGCAACCTACAGTTCAGTTTAGATCGTGCAAATTTCTTTGCTTTCTTTATTTCATGGTCTAAACTGAACTGTAGGTACAATTAGTCGATAAGTAAACTATTGGGCCCCCAGAGGGCCACCGATGGACGACGAGGGATCACGCAGGGACATCGTGGGATGCGTGCGTCTTAGCTTTAAGTTGCGTGCGTTTAATTTTAGTTAATCATAAGATAGTTAATATGTGTAAATTCACTGTGTGCGCATTCTGTACAAAGACACGTTTATTAAACGTGAGACACCTCCTCTCTTCTCTTTTCTCGTTCGTTGTTACTATTGTTACTGTCATTACACTAGAAAAGAGTTACTTTTGTCACTGTCATTGCACTAGAGTTACTTTTGTTACTGTCATTGCACTAGAGTAGAGTCACTTTTGTCACTGTCATTGCACTACAGTAGAGNTTACTTTTGTTACTGTCATTGCACTAGAGTAAAGTTTCCAACTTTCGTTGTCAGTGTGTCAAGTTGGGGAACTGCAACCCCGTCCGCAAGGACGAGGTAGGTTCTTGTAGTCTAGCGTCCTTTGTAATCCGGCTCAGCGGTTCTTCAGAACCTCACTGTGTTGTTGGGGGTAGCGCTAGGTTATATGCCTCTAAGTGCTCGAACTTCGATTTGGCACACTGACAAATCGCGATTTTCATTTTCCATTTCCGCGTTATATTTCTTACAAGGCACGACATTGAAATGTGTCAATAGTTTCGTTTCCCTAATTTCGTTTTAAAGTTTAATGAATGTGTCTTTGATACAAATTGCGCTGGTAGGGCTGCGAATGATTGTACAGTTATTGTTTAACTTTCAAGTTAAACAAGTGTGTCATTAGTATGAACGGCTGCGTGTGATTGCATGCATATTGTACGATTTGCATTCGAATGTAATGTACATAAGTATGTATTGTATGATTGTATGTGCATTGTATGATTCTATGTGCATTGTATGATTCTATGTATTGTGTGCATTGTATGAATTGTGTGCATTGAATGATTCTATGTGTTGTGTGCATTGTATGAATTGTATGCATTGAATGATTCTATATGTTGTGTGCATTGTATGAATTGTGTGCATTGAATGATTCCATGTGTTGTGTGCATTGTGTGCATTGTATGATTTTATGTATTGTGTGCATTGTGTGCATTGTATGACTTGTGTGCATTATTTGAATTGTATGAATTGTATGATCTGTATGAGTTGTATGAATTGTATGCATTGTATGTAATGTATGATTGTATAATTTCATTGCACCGTGCGGGATATGAACTTACTATTAACGTGATCGTTTGGGAGACAGAGTTCCATAGTTCAATCTCATACTTGCGTATTAAGATTTAGAGTTATGCTTGAGATTGAACTATGGAACGTCTGTCTCTTTTGTAACTCCGGGCCAAGTAGAATAAAATCTCTACATTCCTTAAGAATGCCGAGTACAGTTTGAATGTAATGGAGGGTGGTTGGGATTAGGGCCCGGGCGGGTCTCGTGCGTAGTNGGACGACGAGGGATCTCGCAGGGACATCGTGGGATGCGTGCGTCTTAGCTTTAAGTTGCGTGCGTTTAGTTTTAGTTAATCATAAGATAGTTAATATGTGTAAATTCACTGTGTGCGCATTCTGTACAAAGACACGTTTATTAAACTTGAGACACCTCCTCTCTTCTCTTTTCTCGTTCGTTGTTACTATTGATACTGCTATTGCACTAGAGTAGAGATAGTTTTGTTACTGTCATTGCACTAGAGTAGAGTTGCTTTAGTTACTGTCATTGCACAAGAATAGAGTTACATTTGTTACTGTCATTGCACTAGAGTAGATTTTCTAGCTTTCATTGTCCAGTGTGCCAAGTCGGGGAACTGCAGCCCCGTCCGAAAGGACGAGGTAGGTTCTTGTAGTCTAGCGTTCTTTGTAATCCGGCTCAGTGGTTCTTCGGAACCCCACTGTGTTGTTGGGGGTAGCGCAAAACTACTTGCCTCTAAGTGCTCGGAACCCGATTTGGCATACTGACAAATCACGGTTTCATTTTGCGTTATATCTCTTACAAGGCACGATATTGAAGCGTGTCAATAGTTTCGTTTCCCTAATTTCGATCAAAGTTTAATAAATGTGTCTTTGATACAAAATGCGCTGGTAGGGCTACGAATTAATGTACAGTTATTGTAAGCATTGTACGATTCTATGTATTGTGTGCATTGTGTGCATGGTATGAATTGTGTGCATAGCATGAATTGGATGAATTGTATGAGTTGTATGAACTGTATAAACTGTATGAACTGTATGAACTGCATAAAATGTATGATCTGTATGAATTGTATGAATTGTATGGATTGCATGTAATGTATGATTGTATTATTTCATGTATTGTATGCATTGTATGATTGTGCGGGATATGAACTTATTATTAACGCGATCGTTATTTGGGAGACAGAGTTCCATAGTTCAATCTCATATTTGCGTTTTAGAATTAAGATTTAGATTTAAGCTTGAGATTGAACTATGGAACGTCTGTCTCCTTTGTAACTCCGGGCCAAGTAGAATAAAATCTCTACATTCCTTAAGAATGCCGAGTTGCTTGAATGTAATGGAGGGTGGTTGGGAATAGGGCCCGGGGCGGGTCTCGTGCGTAGTCACCTCCTCGTGGTGAGACCTGGTAATTGATATCCTTTTACAAACATTAAAGTTTGTAAAACGTTATCAAGCTAAGTTGTAAAACGGTAAATGACAAACTTTAATGTTTGTGAAACAATATCAAGCTAAGAACTACGCAACCTACAGTTCAGTTTAGAGCGTGAAAATTTCTGTTCATTCTCTATTTCACTGTCTAAACTGAACTGTAGGTACAGTTAGTTGATAAGTAAACTATTGGGCCCCCAGATGGACGACGAGGGATCACGCAGGGACATCGTGGGATGCGTGCGTCTTAGTTTTAAGTTGCGTGCGTTTAGTTTTAGTTAATCATAAGATAGTTAATGTCTGTCAATTTAATGGAAGCACGTTCTATAGAATGTTGCACTTGTTGCTATAATATATGTGAATTTATTTTTTCTTTAAGTATGTGAAGTATTTTAAACCAGTTATAACTTAGTTATCAAGTTTCATTGTTAGTAGTCAAACACATCTCATGTTTTAGAATCTATAGATACAATTAATCATTTTGCTCGTATCATTTTACTTTGTGTAATTACAGACGGGTTTTACGTTTCGGTATTGAAAGTACCGGACACTGTAATGTTCTCAGAAAACATATTGGTGGCGCATTCATTAGTTCCCTAGCTCACCGTTGTTTAACCGTAGAGTGCGCTAAAACCCAGTTTTTTTTTAGTATGTCGGTAATTCAGGTCACTAAGATGCAATGTTTCTCCTTATACTTCGTCGGTGTCTCTGGCACAAATTCGTATACCTCGACTGTGGCTTTGTTGGTTCCTACAATCCACGCTGAATTAGTGTACCTCTTCAAAATTAACATCAACGCCATCTACACAATCGTTGTGCCAAACAGTACGTTTCCTGTAAATCGACATCGCCAACTGTGTATAAACCCCTAACATAAGAATATTTGTAAATTATTATTTTATTTTTATTATTACTATGGAGATGTTATTACCGTGTTTACTTATTTATAGTGATGTATATATAGACCCCATTTTATAATTTGTTATTCATTCCTTAAGTAACATTCGGAGAAAACAGTTATCGATTTGTGTGCTGTATACTTTATCTAATATATTATTGTTATTTAAATATCATTTATCATAATTTATAAAGTTACGTAGTTCTTCTTATTTATATTTGTAGTATAATGATGTAAATTTAATTATCATCATGATCACTGCATCAGTAACTTTGATAGTGACATCTTCTTTATCGACTGCGGCCAACGTCACAGACAGTTTTTGAATACATCGCGTAGAGGGCGCGGCAAACTTTTATAGATTTTTCAATTTACTAATTGAACAGACACGGAAATCCATTGAAACAATAGATTTATTTCCCATTTTATCTTTCTACTTCTTCTCCCACTTCAGGTGAGAAGATAACATCGTACTTTTTACACGGTCGGAAGAAGATGGATAAAATCGAGGGAGTTTTATTTTCATAATTAGAGCAACGGCTGGCCGGTGACGCCAGTGGTCGGGAAAGCCGAGTGCCTACGACCTGACACGAATCTCGTTGAGTCGATCGTGTGCCGCAGTCGTTCTCCAGCTAACGAGCGAGCGAGGTTGTGAAGTGTTTTTTTGCGTCCGTGTTCCATTCGCGAGTTCGAAGTCGTTCCCGATTTCCGCGTCGATCGTCGTTCGCGTGTCGCTTGATCAATCGGCATGGAAATGAATCTGCTGCGGTGCTACCGTTGAACGAACTCTCATGGAAAAGCAGGCAAAATCAGCGGTCGGTATGATGCAGGAGATCACGGACCAGTCCTCCAGGACTGTGCTCCTGAACACGTTCGTGGTGAAGAAGAAACGATGCAGAGTTTACTTTCATCGTGGCACTCTCATCTGGGAAACGGAGAAGCCCCCGTACAGTAAGTATAATCAAGATTTTTCGAGGTGCGAGAGCGTTTTTGTCATTGATCGATCGAATGGTTTTTTTTTTTTTCTGAAAACGCATCGAAAAGGACGCGACGAGTTTCGCGAGTGTATGTGTATGCGAAACACAAGGCAGACACATTCGTAATATTCAGCAGATGTAAAACGCAAATCTCTGTTGTGTGTTTGCACGTTGCATTTAATTACATCTTTAGTACTTAATTATATTTCTTCAGTTACATTCGTAAGGACATGAGATCGTACGATGATGCACGCATCTGTGCTGCATTAATGATTATTGTCTGATGACTTTACAAAGTGGAGACAATAGAGCGACAGACACGCTACTAGGACACGATCTTGTTGCCTCCGCTTTAACGTCGCGTTGTTGTCGCGGTACCGTGCGCAGGACTCACAGTCACAGTCAGTTTTCCCTATGTACGTGTTCCTCTGTACAAATATTAACCCTCTCGAGATGTTTACGTCGAGTATACTCGTCACGGAAAAATGTCTTTCTTTTCTTTGATAACGAGTATAGTAAAATTTGCATTTGCTTGTAAAAGTGAAATTTGAGTGAAACGAAAAGATATATATTCATAATTTTAACGCGTTTTAGGATGCTTTGGAATAGAAAAAGAAAAACTGATGTCAATTGCAATTACATATGAATAATACAATTTTTTAGTAAAAAATATAAATTATAGAAGAATATATTATAAAAATATAAATTATGGAAAAATATATATTATAAATTATAAAAAATATAAATTATTTATATTTATATAAATATAAATTAAATATTTTATTAAATTAAATATTTAATTATAAATAAAATATGATTTAAAAAGGACTGGAAAATTTTGACATTTCATTATAATTCATTTCGGTTTTACAGCAAATGCATTTATTCTGTATTCATCGTAGCCTAGAAATAATTAAGCCCGTTCTCCAAATATGAAATAAATTACTTAACACTCGAAGACACTTACAACGAAACAAATTAAAAAAGACTGTGAAGTAACTTTATAATTACAATATAGCTATATAATATAAATACAATATATAATAATAATAGTAATATATTGTAAAATATATATTATTATATAATTGTGTAATATAAAAATACAGTTATGCAAAACATAACTATATAATTAATTTGAAATTTTTTTCAACGAAAATTGAATTAGAAAATACTTGCCCATCGAAATCGTTGTTGGAGTGTGTTTTAGTTATTTTCACGATTCTTATTCTTGAATAATATTCTCAGTCAAGTGATAGACATTTGTATTTTTGCATCAAGTCGTTCGTTCGAGTATCGCAGTCGAAATTATCGAAAAGCTAAGGCGCGCGTTATTCGAAACTGTCCTCCGCTAAGAAACTTATTTCCCTGAAATTCAGATTGGTATGTGATTGGATGATTTCGATAGGCGGCGCGCGTGTCTACAGGATGTGCCAAAACTTTCTTCCCACCTATTTTCTTTTTCTTTTTTTAATAAAACATACAAAAATAAAAATACAGGAATAAATTTTATTAATTTTAAATTAAATTTAAATTAAGTTCAAGCATGTACCTAAATTAGCGTACTTTTATGATTTATTTTAGTGAGAAGTGACTTTCCTAGTAGACCATCCTGTAGAACGATAGAATGACAAGAAACGAGGAGTAACTCGCAGTTTTTTTTCCTCCGCGTTTCGCGATTTTAACGTTTGTAATTTACCGGTGATTTCATTCATAATAACTCTCTTGCGGCTATTATTGAAAATTTCAGAAACTTTCTTTTAACTGCAAGAAAGAGACAATCATCGCCATAAAATATTCAATGATCGAAATCAATTGATATTTTCTAGTGAATATTTCATTAATTGAGTCTTCTTTTTTTATTGTTTTATTTCTTTTTGCTTGTTATTTTGTATTATTTTTATCATTATCTATTATTTTTGTATTTCTGTGCTATTATGGGAAAAAATCGGCACAATTCTTTTCTCTTTATTCAAACTTAGTCGATAAATCTGCATTAATGCCAGGGTATTGAATTTCGATTTAATTCGAGAAGTTAGAACACCGGAACCACACGAAATTGCCAACGATCAATCGAAAATTCGATCGTGGGCCGTTCGAAACTATAAATAGAGTTAATTGTTGCTCGTTTGGTTAAATCAAGAAAATCACGTGATCGACAGGTACAGTAGGTTCGTCGATCACGTGACAACGAAGTTTTCATTCTGATTTTTAAACATCGATAAACGAGGGACCATTAGCGGTAACGTTGAAACAGTAGATACTGTTCCGTCTCGATCCTAAGGTTAACCTCTTGCGCTAGTAACTGGTTCGCGGACCATAACGAGTGACCAAACCGTATATAACAATTCGTCTTCTTTTTCGAATTTATCGGTATATCACTGGGTAGAAATTACTAAGAATATATTAATATTATTAAGAATATATATAATAAATTTATTATTTGTTTATGCGTGGATTATATCTTAATATATTTAAAACTGAGAAAATATTGCAATTTTGGGCCAGATATTCTCGACGTGCGTGCACGTCATTCCAACGCAAGAGGTTAACTTCTCGCGCTGGCAACTGATTGTGGACCATAACGAGTGACCGAACCGTATACAATAATTCATCGATTTCTTTTTCGTAGGTATGATGTCACTGGATAGAAATTATTGAGAAGTAATAAATTTATTATTTGTTTTGCCTGGGTTGTACTTATAAGAGGTTAACCACTCGCGCTGGCAACTGATTGCGGACCATAACGAGTGACCGAACCGTATACAACGATTCTTCTTTGAATTCATATATCGCTGGGTAGAAATTACTAAGAAGTAATAAATTTATTATATCTCAATATATTCAAAACTGAGAAAATATTGCAATTTTAGTCCAGATTATAGCGCAAGAGGTGGTCAAAATCGTCGGTCGTTCTCGTGTTATTAAGTATATTTAAACACAGAATTTAATCAACATCGAAAACACGAAAAAAATCGCTTCGTTCGCTCTCTCGATAGTCTCGGACTAGTTTCGATTTTAAAAAACTTTCAAGCCTTCGCGTAGCCTCGCGAAGGGTCAACCCGAAGGACTGGTACGGAATATCGATAGATTTTCGACGATCGGCAAAACAGCAGCGACGCATCGGTAAAAACGATGGCGTGTCCTTCAGTCTCGCGCCCGCGTGTGATTCCGTTTCCTTGTGTTCGTTGCGGACGTTGAATATTAAAGAAAGAGCCGTGCGAATCTCGAGGGGCCTTCCTTGCCTCTCGTCTCACGATCCAACCTTGAACTTTCCTTGGACAACTGTGAATCATCTCCACTTATGAGATTTGTTTCTCTTTCCTCTTTCTTTTCTTTTCTTTCTTTCTTTTTTTTTTTATTTTTGTTGACCTCCAAACCTTAACCTTAGGATTAGGATTTTTTGAATTCATTTAATTTTGACGATCAATTTCACGAAAATTAAATCACACGAGTAATTGTGAATTTTGAAAAAAAAAAAAGGATTCAAGGTTGATAGAATGACGAAGTTTAAACAGTTTTGAAAATATTGATAATTTTTCATCGGGTGTGCTTTCATATTCTTGTCATTTTCCAACACATAATTGACGCATAGAAGTCCGTGAGAAATAGTCGAGTCGAAGCGTGAAGTATAGACCACTCCGAGGACATCGAAGATGGAATAAATTACTATTCTTCTTTGTAGTGTTTTTTTTCCATTTAGTATTCCGCGTCCGTGGATGCTACACAGCGATTCCCATTTGTATACGACTATTAATCTGTCCGCATTTTTCGTTCGATTCCTTCTTGTTTCTCGATGAGCTTCGAAATTTAACCCGTTCCCTATGGATCCTACGCCGAGTGGTTCGACAACACGTTTCGAATATATTGTTTCATGAGTTTCTTTTCTCGTAGTGCCGTAGTTTTGTATACTTTGTGTGGAATTCGAGATGAGATGAGTAACGTTATCGTCTTCAGTCATCAATGCATGTGTTTTGCTTTGCATCATCTGCTGCTAGTGAACATAATAAGACAGAATGAGTTAGGTAGCAGTTCAGGCAAAACTTTTTATTTTAATCTTATTTACTAAGTTATGAATGACCTTGAAACACCAATTCGTGTTGATGTCAGCTACAAGACTGTGAACTTAAAAATGTATATTTCCATTTTAAAAAGACAAAAGTCACCTTGAAATCTCGGGAGCACGAGCACGTAACCCTCCGCGTACTGTGCCGGTGTCATTTTTGACCCGTATTGAGAGCTACTTGAACGCAACAACGCATACAGTGATGGGGGCTGCTTGTTTTTTAGTAGCTGAAACCTGATCGCACTAACACACACGAACGCCAAGTGGCTAACACTTGTCCGCCAAAGTGATGAAGACTGAAGACAAAGGAATCAGTTTTTTGGTAACGCTCTGAGGAGGAAACACGTGTGCAGCAAAATCGAAGCAATTATTGTTTTTGTTCTTTTTTATTACTTTTTTCCGTTGTTTCCATTTGTTTCCATTTGTCGACGCAATGTCCTCATTGCCAACGAGTAATATTTCTTTGTCTTCTCTCGCTCAATATCCGCAAGACGTTCCTGACGGTGAACAATCGTCAGACAACGGAAGTGTATCAAATAGTGACGCTGATTCCCCAAACGCAAGATTCCGAAGTCGAAATGCAAGAAGACAATATATCAGAGACTGTGGATAATGTAGTTCCAGAAAACCAGGAATTCGGACGTAATTGGCAACGTGTTGGACCTAGCAAGAATACAGCGATTGTCTCTCGTCAATGTATAAATATAAATAAATATAACTTTATTATTCATGTGATTATTATTTGTTCCTAGATGCTACTACGTGTTCCTATACGAGTCGGGTTGTCTGTCACTGTGTTGGTACAATATCGGTGAGGATCTCGGTCTCCAGCGACCATCACTATGTTTGGTTGGTACAGCATCGGTGAGTCGCTCGGGCGATCTAAATATGTGTTAGTGGAATGTCCGTGC